GGACTGGACAAATTCACTGATGACACCAGACTTTGGGGTAAAGCATCCACACCTGAGGACAGGAGGATGATCCAGGCAGATCTTGACAGGCTCATGAAATGGGCGGATGAGAACCTGATACTGTTTAACACCAAAAAATGCAAGGTTCCCCACCTTGGGCAGAAAAACCTGCAGCATGCTTATAGGCCGGGCAGTGCTATGCTGGTTAGCACTACAAGTGAAAGGGACTTGGGGGTCACGATTGACCACAAGATGAACATGAGCCTGCAGTGTGATGCTGCGGCTAGTAAAGCGACAAAAACGCTGGCTTGCATCCATAGATGCTTCTCAAGCAAATCCTGGGACATCATTCTCCCATTATACTTGGCCTTGGTGAGGCTGCAGCTGGAGTACTGCGTCCAGTTTTGGGCTCCAAAATTCAAAAAGGATGTGGAGAAGATTGAGTGAGTGCAGAGGAGAGCCACGTGCATGATCAGAGGTCAGGATAACAGACCTTATGATGAGAGGCTGAGCTATGGGACTCTTCAGGCTGGAAAAGCTCAGGCTCAGGGGCGATCTGGTGGCCACCTATAAGTTTATTAGGGGTGTTCACCAGGATCTGGGGGAACATCTGTTCACCAGAGTGCCCCAAGGGCTGACAAGATCAAATGGTAATAAACTCCTTTGCAGCTGTTTCAGACTGGACATAAGGAAGAACTTCTTTACTGTCTGAGCTCCCAAAGTTTGGAATAGACTGCCGCCGGAGGCGGTACAAGCACCCACTTTGAATGCCGTCAAGACACTTTTGGGTGTTTATCTTGCTGGGATCCTATGATCCCTGTTGACTTCCTGCCCCTGGGCAGGAGGTTGGACTCGATGATCCTCCAGGGTCCCTTCCAGCCCAAATGTCTATGAAATCTATGAAATATTCTTGGTCTTCATTTGACTTTCCTTGTTTCAAGGACTATATCTGAGTTGGGGAACACAGGGAAACTAGTCCTGAATCTTTATCTTTCATTATTAATAGTAATACAAATAATGTAATCCTATGGGCCAAAATCTGCTCTGCTTCCTAGAAGGATAATGCAACTGGCTTTAATAATCCTAAACCAATGCGTATTAACCTGATATTAATCCAGATATATAAGATACTAATAGGGTGTGTCTACACATAGCCCTATGGTGACATAGCGGCACACTGCGGTGATGTAACGATCATATGGGTCTACATGTGATCACCAGATACATTGCCATAGTAGCTTGCTCCCTCCCCTGGTATAGTGTGCTGCTATGGTGACATAGCGGTGAAATCGAACCATGTGCCATGCGCACAGCACAGTACATCCATACTGCACCATGCTTTCATACTTCCAAAAGGAAGTAGCAACATCACCATAGAGTGACATGTAAACTTGCACATAGTGGATCAAAAGCAGTTGCATCCCTGCACTTCAGTAAAGCTGAGACCAAATTCCCCTTTGGCTATGGATTCATGTACTGACAAAATGTTGAAATGTTCACATAAACCCCCAGAATTTGCTAATAGCAAGGTTTTATTAGTAACTCTCCAGCAAATGGCAGGTGGATAGAAACAGTAGATATGATATAGGATGCTTATCCACAGCAGAGCAAGTCTTCAATAATATCAGTCAGTCATCAATAGTAGAGTCTGTGCCTAATATTCAAGCTGGACTTAAATTATTCTGAAATAATCTTAAAATGAAGATTATTCAGCATGGATTCACTAAGGGCAAGTCATGCCTGACCAGCTAGATTGCCTTCAATGGTGAGATGACTGGCTCTGTGGATGTGGGAGGGCAGAGGACGTGATATACCTTGATTCTAGCAAGGCTTTTGATATGGTCTCCCACAGTATTCTTGCAAGCAAGCTAAGGAAGTCTGGGTTGGACGAATGGACAGTAGGGTAGATAGAAAAATGGTGGTCTTAAAGGGCAGTAATCAATAACTCAATATCTAGTTGGCAGCCAGTATCAAGTGGAGTGTCCCAGAAGTTGGTTCTAGGGCTGGTTTTGTCTGATATCTTCATCAATGACCTGGAAGATAGCATGGAGCGCACCCTCAGTCAGTTTGCAGATGACACCAAGCTGGGGGGAGCAGTAGATTCGCTGGAGGGTAGGGCTAAAATTCAGAGTGACCTAGACAAATTACAGGATTGGACCAAGTGAAATCTCATGAATTTCAACAAAGATAAGTGCAAAGTCCTGCACTTGGGACAGAGCAATCCCATGCACCGGTACAGGCTGCGGGCTGACTCACCGGGCAGCAGCTCTGTAGAAAAGGACCTCAGGCGGGGCTGTTTCCATGGAGGCAGGACCTGGGCTGGCACAAAATGCAGTCCCTGTGGGAGGTGCTGGGCCCTAGGTGACAGCCCAAGTGGCCCCGGCGCTGCCTGAAGGTGTATGGTCCTGCACCATGCTGCGCAGGGCCAGACCCACAACATGCAGCACGGGTTGTGCCAGGTCTGTGGCAGCCGGGGCTTCGCTGTGCCACTGGGGGCTCTGGCTGCAGCGGGCCCTGAGAGCCCAACAGCCGCTGCTGCTAGGGGCGAAAGAGAGTAACACACACGGTCACCATTTTGGGTCATTAAAAACAATTGTGGTCGCCAACTAGGTAGTCAAATACTTTCGGTTTCACTTAACGTTTATTTTTTCAGGAACCAATTAAGAGCACTAAGTGGAGGTTGCGTGTATCAAATTTAGAGCCTGCACTGGAAATATGTAGTGCAGGGAACATTTTTTTGTTCTCAGCGTGGTTTGAGATGCCACAAGAGGTGCGTGCGTGCTCGTCTGGACGCGCCCTAAGAGTCTTTCTTTTGACTTTCGTGGTCTTTGGATAAGATCCACATTGCCTGGTTTTCCCCATTCACAATCACATTTTATCATACTTAACATGCTTGACTTGGATTTTTCTGGGTGCTTGTATCCCACCTCATCTTGCCATGTGATTGCTGAGCACACATATGGATATGTTTTTGTAATATGTAAATGTAACATTAGAACAATATGTGTAAGTAATAGTCCTGTCAGAAACAAACTGATAAGGGCAGATGCTATGTGATTCTTAGACATGCATATGCATATATTTTAATATGCAAATGACATATTAATATATTATGCATAAGTTACATCCCTGTCGGGAACAAACCGACCAGGACAGCTGTATTAACAGAAGAACCACATACTTTTAAGAATCCAGTTTTTATTTTCCACATCCTTTTCATGGGATATAACCAGAATCGTCTGCTTTATTTAATACGTATTCTGTATTTTAAGTGGCTCCAATAGTTGAAAGAAGAAGTCTGGCAGAGCTATATATACACATACCTACAACATTCAATGGTTTTTAAATTGCCTCCCAGACCACTAACAAGTGTCAGACCTGTGTGGATCAACAATAGTGCTGAAATGTCTGGTAACCAGCTCTACTCAGTCTTTGGTCTTAAAGATGGCCAACAACAATTCAGAAAGGTATCAAGTCATTTTTTCCCTGTTGTCACACCTAATATCTCCAGCTATGGACCAGGGCCCCAGTACTTGGCGCTGTAGAAAAACAGAAGAAAAAGGAGTCCCTGACTATATAAGCTACAACCTGGTGCTACAATAAGTGCCATAAGCTAACCAGTGCTAATGACTGCAGGAAACATTTTCAAAAATACAGAAGGGACTTCAAAAACTCAGCCCGACAGAACTTAATTTGCTAAATTATTTAGATATTTCTGAAAAGTTCACTTGGAGGGCAGCTTTTTGCTCAATATTGACCCACTTTCAGAGACATTTGCTATTGCAAAATTACTCCCGGAACAAAATTCATTAATTTCAACTATAACAGTGAATGGTAAACACTGTAAAAAATGGACTGTAAAAAACTGTCCAGATTCAGTTCCTTTAGAATCCAGTGATCAAATGCTGCAAGAATCAAGTGACTATTGAAACACCTCC